TTCGTAAAAAAGACCATTTTGTAGAGCCAACCGTGAAAACAACATTTGTCTGATTCCTTTGCAGATTAGATTTTGTATTAGTTTCTTCTATAAGGACCAAAGCTCTAACCCAAGCAATTTGTTAGAAAGATATCTGCGTGGCATAGTCGTTTTCTCTTACCCGCGATTTGTTATTTCTGTATATAAACCGTCTACATTTTTGTAAAAGACATAATTTTCTCGAGCCAACCGTGTAAATGACATTTGTCTGATTCCTTTGCAGATTCGTTTTGAATCAGTTTTTATGGTTTTCTTTGCACAATAGAACGCATAAAGTCATAAGGCAAGCAATATTTCCGCGAGATTTCCTCGTGGCATGGTCGTTTTTTATACAGGCGATTTGTTCTTTCTGTAAATAAAGTGTATCAAATTTCGTTAAAGACTTCATATTCTCGGACCAATAATGGAAACTCCACTTCTCTGATTCCTTTGCAGCCGTGCGACCAATTTAATTTTGTAAATACACACTTATAACTTTTAAAGAGCTTAGTGTTTTAAATTATCTTAAACAATTGATTTACTAGACTGTTCACTAAAGTTAATGTATTACGATTCATTTTAAATAATGCAATCTTATTGGACAAAAAACTAAATATCTAAACGCTTGTCTTAACCATTCAAGGATGTAAATGATGCAATTTAAAACCACTTAAAATTTAATGCTCCGAATAAACCGGAACGTATTTAGTTCCAATATTTTATGTATGTTGGTTATTAAAATTGAATTTATTTGAGAGTTTCGATTCACGAAATAAGGTAAAATAAATTTAATAATGTTGCGTTTTATTTCATGCTTTCCAGTGTTTTATTGTAATATATCAGATGATTATATTCTGATAAACCACTAGTGAAATTTATAAAATATCATTTTCACTGTAGCCGGACTTTATCTGAATGCGGATGAAAAGAAAATCAAACTTAATGGAATAACAGGTAGAAAAAAAATGCCGTCATACGTAAATTTTACTTCTTTAGGAAAATAAAGTCGATGTCACCATACATCATGTTAAAATGTAACAAAATTAGAGAAATTTAACAGAACTATATTTCAAAATTGATGATGTGACGTCATGATGTGATGACGTCACAAAGGAGAATGCTCGACCTTACGCGGCAAAATCAGTAAAAAATACTTAAAATCACTTTAAAAGCATGAAATAAAAAGAAAATGTATTTGTTTTACATATATGATTGAAATATATTTCATTCGTGAACACCAGCTATTATATTTTCACTCGTGGCTACGCCACTCTTGAAAATATTGCATCTGGTGTTCACTCAGTGAAAATATATTTCAATCTAATATGCAAACCAAACAAATATCCTTTATATACTTTTATTAGTGACATTATGCTAATTTTTTTCATTATGGAATTGAGCTAGATGACATTTTGCACATTTTTCCTTTATCAAGTTGAGCTTAATGCCACTATGCTATTATGAAAGATTGATTGTTATAATTGTGGTTGATTTGAAAAATATTGAGTATAAAATACTTATCTGCTTACAATATAAAACAGTCTCTCCCACTCTTCAATGAAATTAATGTTTCAGGTTTTTTTATGATTTATAGAAATGTCTTGAGTTGTTGAACCTTCATGCAAAATGAATTGTAAAATTGAAAGAAATGCAATGTTAACTTATTTTGACTCTCTACTGTTTACTGACTATATACCCTTGGATGGGCATAATGCCACTTTAAGTAATCGTGAAGGCTGATTTATAGCAAGGTAAATATTCAAAGAAGTATAAAATCAATATATAACAATATGCTGGGATAAAACTCACAAATGTATAGTGCGAGTGATTTTATTTTTAAGCACTCAAACGTCTGTTTCATATTTTTGTAATCATTTGGACGACACATTCATAATTTTTGTACTCATCCGAACGACATACTCATTCGACAAGTGTTTCAAGTCTTATTGACAAATCAGTTCATTGAAATTTACTATTTCTCTTTCAATTCTAACAGAAGTAACAACAATCACGAATATTTACTAATCACTAAACAAATAATTGATAAAGTTTCGCAATCCACATGAGGAAATAGACAGACACGGAAATAGTGTTTAATGTTAGCATTGGTTAAATGAGCCGAAAACGGAAGTAAACATTTGATACACAGTTAGCTCTACTCTGACACTCATTTTGGTATACACATATGGTCAACTAGTCAATGGTGAGGTGGCGATGGATTTTTATTGCGTTGTTTAATGATTGCAATTTTGATGGAAGCACGCGTGTACGAAAATATTCAATGCCTTTACATTACATCCATAGACATAGATTAAGTTTCGTGTGAATGGTTTTACAAGTTATGAAGATTGATGTTGTATGAAAAACTTGAACTTAGAATTTTAAGTTTAAAAAGGGGCCATAATTCAGTCGAAATCCTTGAAAAAGTTATATGCATTAAATAGTGATCTGCAAAGTTTCAAGTGAATAAGTTTAGTTGTTTTGAAAAATAATGTTGCACGCAACACGTTTACCAAACGTTGTCAAAGTTCAAACCGGCCTAAAATTTAGTCAAAATTCATGCTTAAGTTATTAGCCTTGTGACCTTGTGACCTGCTATTTTGACCCTGAAATGATTCGGTTTCAAGTGAATACCTACCTAAAGTAGTTTTGAAGATTGATGTTGCATGCAAAACTTCACCCATTGATTTTCTAAGCTACAAAAGGATCATTACTGTGTCTCAATTCATGCTACAGTTAGTGGGCATTGATAGTGATCCAAAGACATGTAGAAAATTCCAAGTGAATAACTTCATAGCAAAACAGCCAAATCTTCCATAAGCTGGTACAGTAATTTTGGCAATGACAAGTTTTTTTTACTATTTAGTTCAATTTATTAAATGTTTACCCCTGTGGTGTGGGTTTATACATTTGGATGTTTAAAAGAAGCTTGAACCATTGTGTATGGTATTTTGTGTCATAAACTGTATTTGCCCATTTCAGATAACATGGCCAGCAACGACGAATCTCAATCTGTACGTATTGATTTGCATTATAATAACTTTATTTGCATAGCAGTTACCAACGATTGTTTCATGTATTTTATTTCACTTTAATTTGATCCTTGCTAGTGCATATAAAAGAGCTAAAGACAAATCTTTTGACAAATAGTGTTTTCTATCTTAATGACAAATGGCCATAGAAATAAAAAATATTGCTAAGTTGCTTGAATTATGGACTTGAATTAGTCCCGGGTTTACATTTTTCAAGAGAAATGTAAAAATCTTAACATAAGTTTCAATAAAAGATTTATACATGTAGTATAACACTTTTTGAGTAACACTTATATTTCTTTGTTTTAATGTCATAAATTAAAACATGTTCATATTTCCGATGACTGAATAAGAGTTGATTTAAGGACAATCCATGCACAACTGACTGATGTTAAGATACCATTCTCGAACCTTAATCTTCATTCAGAATCAGTATGGGATATCTGAGCTGTACAATTAAATGACTCATATTTGCACTTATACTCTAATTGTATTCAATTAAGTCCATTATGCCAGGTATTGAGTTTTGAAAAAAATTAAAATTTCGATTTTTTTTCAAGTTTCAGTTTCAGAAAACCTCGGTTATGTCGATTTGTCCTTTTTAAAGTAAACAATTGTTTGGAAATTGATAGTTAAGCGTTTGCTTTTCTTAAGCACATAATAACATAACGAAGAGCTACGTTCGTCTTTTTTTAGTGAAATTATGGATCTTAATATGTTCTTTTCTCCAATTCAAATTATACCTTCTACTTCGAAATAACTCGATTACACAAAACAAAGTTCTTCCTTATATTCTATGTTCAAAGTTTAAAAATTACCTGAAAGAGATATTATTCTGTTTAAATTAATATATTTAAAAGTATAGGAAAATATTTATTTAAAAAAAAAACCACGAAGAAGACACGAAAAATGATAGTTTATATTAAACATGTTGGGGAAAATTTGAGGAAAGAGTTTCTTCTATAATCGAAATGTTCAAAACAAATGTGCATTGTGGCGTATATTTTGCGGGTTTTTTGTTTTGTTAAGTGTAGTAGAATGAAATGACTTTGATTTATTTATGATGAAATATACAAATTCAAAATCGTGTAACAGTTTTTATTCTGGCCGTAAGAATTTTTAGGCAAACGCCTTAAATTGGTGGTTAAAGTATGTATAACAGCAGCCATATGGCGCTTGTCTATGTATAGACATAGTGTACGAGTTGACATTATTGGATTCATTGCGTTGTCACATAAAATACTTATAACTAATGAGATCAAATTTTTTAAATGACTGCAAAAAAAATGAATAAAAAAAAAGTTTCAGGTTTTCGTCGATCAAGGAAATATGTGCATCCGTTTACGTGTTAGTGCTTACATTTGGGTTTAATGAGGATATTAACTATAGGAACAATAAGAACACCTAATTTGCACTGATATTATTCATTCCAGTTTCTGTAGCTAATATGGTTGTATGTGGCTAAAATGAAAACGAGATAGCCATAAAAATCGAAACATTTGAATGTCCGCCCATCTGTTCGGTAGCCATATCGAAGTCTGCTCAATGTATTGCTAACCATTAGATTTCCTGTCTTTATACTTAACAGGAAGGTTGATCATGGCCTTTTTTATTTTGAGGTCTTTATGTCAAGATCACATTGATACTTATTTTAAAATTCTAATGCGAATTAAATGCTTCATTTGCATTAATTCCGTTTCGACAACTTTTTATTTACCTTTATAAATGATGGTTAAGATTATAATGATCAGTCATTTTTCTATACTAATTTATGTCTCGTGATCAGCGGCTGATATGTCACCTTCTGCTCTTGTTGCCAATACTGTACAATTTCTTTATTAAGAATGTTTTATCTTTACCAATATTTACAATTATACAGAAGAACAAACAACAGTAAATAATACTTGAAAACAGTTTATAAAGTAAAAATATCAATGAAAATAATGCGTTTATTATATATCTCTTTAATGTTACATTGTTGTGTAGTATATAACATTTATAAAATCTACACTCTCTCACAGTTTATAAACAATGTATTTAAAATTAATTGTGTAGATGAAATTCCAGATCCTGACAACGACAATGAGGAAACTGTTCTTTTAACACAAACAGATGGAGCAAATCTCGTATCAGAACCGTCTAAACCGAAAGATAATAAATGTGAGTTGACGAAAAGAAATGTTTAAAAGAGATTTAATATCGAAAACGAATTATTTAATATCTGATTAAATTCATTTAAGTTCATAATTGATGTTTTTGTTTATTGTTTTAGGCAACATGCTTTCAAGTTGATGCTGATTTTGATAAAAAAAATAATCTTTATACAAGTAAATAATTTTAAGTGAACAAAAAATAATTAACACATGCCAAACGGCCACGTTCATTATCAACAGAAGTCAAAATTATGCAAAAAAAAGCTATAAGTGTGTTAATTACAAAGTAGAAATATGGGACATCAGACATTAACTGCACGTTACATGTAACTGATTTAAGTAAATCATTAATCTATTTACTTATAAATAAATCTACGTACATTTTTCTTATATTTTATTTCCTTGATGAACATTAATGAACATTAATTTAATTCATAGATTAATAATATCCATGCACTGCTTTACGCGATCAGATTCATTAGATTTGGGTGTTTGATTTCCGCAATGTCTATGTAACATACTGATTAATTCAACTACATGTACGTGTTCTCTTCATGTATATGATTTAAAAATGTTATTAACACCATTTGTCCATCCAGCGATTTAAGTTAAAAGAAGTAATTATTGTATGAAGTGTCTTGGACGAAACTTTAATCATATTAAAAAAGAAATGGAAGTTAATAAAATTACTATATTGCCTCCCTTACATTGTTCTTTAATAATGATCGGGGATTCTTTTATATGATATGTTAATGAAATTTAAAAATGCAGGCACTCCCTGGCTAGTGTTCGCCTTGAGATTTTTCTTATTTTCGCCGATAAAATGGAAGAGAAATGGTTGCTGGATCAGTGTCATCCACCTAGTTTGGTTTGCTGTGTTCATCGCAAAGACTTGCTACCTGACAATACTGGTATGTAAAGATTAAAGAACAATTGAGCCGCGTCACGACAAAACCAACATTATGCGTTTGCGACCAGCATGGATCCAGACCAGCCTGCGCATCCGCGCAGTCTGATCAGGATCCATGCTGTTCGCTATCAGTTTCTTACTTGAAATATGGTTTGTAGGTGAACAGCAGACTGCGCGGATACGCAGGCTGGTCTGGATCCATGCTGGTCGCAAACCCATTATGTTGGTTTTGTCGTGACTCGGCTCAAATGTAACATTGTTTGATGGCGGCAAAAATTGCCTACATATCCACCCTGACGGCCGTTGGTGATTAGATATTGTATGAAATACAAACAACAATAGGCGATACGACTGCAACATTTTGTAACGAAGTGCAATTTGTATTAAACCCATAGACGTATCGTGCTTTGATCTAAAATACTCTCATTTACGTTTTGGAATACAGTGAATGTGTAGGTTGTATGTAGAAATATTATACACTTTAAGAGAATCAATCACCCATGTTTAGAACTTTATGTGTGTTCTTAAGGTATTTAGATTGACAATGTTTGATTGCAAAAGCTGAAGCAATGTTATATATTTTAGTATGGTTTAAAGCCCATAACAATCACTTTTTGAAAGACAACTTAAAGGTTTTGTTGAATAATCTGATAAAACATGTTTATTTGTGTCATTGAGAAATCTTTTGAGATAATAAGGAAACATATTTACACAAGCTAATTATTTTACAGACATTTCAAATAGGATATTGTCGTGAAACTGTGTTCAGTAGCATAGAAGATGGATACATAGCGTTACATCACAACTTATTAAAACATTGGGATGCAAGTAAGATTTTTTTTTCTAATATAACTCGTAAAAGATATTTAACGAATACTAGTATATTGATAAATTCGTAACTAAAGTTAAAGGTTTTCTACAAAAGCATTCTGCAAAATACCTCGGAATTTATTCAAATATTAAACCATCACTCAGTGGGTTGGTTCGCGAGTTAAATGTGTTTCTTCAGAAATATACTGAAAGAAATAAGTTTAGCAAGTTCTGTAGGGGTACATATAGATTTAGGGACAATGTATGTATACATGTTTTATGCTGTTATAATGTCTAGCTTGACCTATACCATAGATTCCCTGTACTGTTTTAAGCATCTGTGGTTATGAAACGTCAAAACGTGTAGTAACTGGTAAACCACGGAGAGCACGTGCAGCACGAAATCTGGCATGTATAAAATCCAAACGTAATATAGCCTTGTCAATCTTATACCATAAACAAATTAACCACATTTAATTTTGAAAATTATTCAATGGGACGTGCTCCAGGAATGACGTTACCTCGACGTCATATGGCTATTGGCTATGCTAAATGCTGGTATGACCGCGTGGGAAGTTGCACGACAATTTCACGTAAGCGAATCGACTATTAGTCGTCTAAAAACTAGATATCAGCTAACAGGGGATGTAAAAGATATGCCACGTTCGGGTAGACCACGAAAAACAACGTTTGCAGAAGACCGTTATATTGTTGTGACGTCACGGCGAAATCGATTTATGTCTAGTCGCAGGTTGGCTTATCACCTCAGAAATTCTACCGGTACTAGAATTTGTGACAGGACAGTGCGCAATAGACTTCACGCTGCCAGACTCCATGGACGTCGACCTCACGTGGGGATACCGTTAACACGACGTCATCGACAGGATCGCGTCGCTTGGGCTAGAATTCACCAAAGATGGAACCGTGCACAGTGGAATGATGTTCTTTTTACCGACGAGTCAAGATTTAATCTTTCCTTTGCTGACGGAAGGTTACGTGTATGGAGGCGAAAGGGCGAGCGATTTGATCCGGAAAACGTTATTGAACGCGATCGTTACGGTGGAGGCAGTGTGATGATATGGGCGGGAATTTGTCATCGTGGTAAAACTGAATTGATTACAGTAGTCGGAAACCTTACTGCAGTGCGGTATTGTGACGAGATAGTGGAGCCAGTTATTGTCCCGTTTCTGTTACAACATGCATGAATTTTGCAACAGGATAACGCCCGGCCACACACTGCAAGGCACACACAGAATGTTATCAGGCGTAACAACATTGCTGTTCTTCCATGACCATCCAGATCGCCAGATCTTTCGCCAATTGAACACATGTGGGACCATCTTGGGCGTAAGCTTTGAGAACGTAATGACGTCATCAACGTTCGTGATCTTGAGCGGGCTTTGCACGAGGAATGGCGCAGAATTCCTCTACATGTTGTTCGAAAACTTATCAACAGCATGAGACGAAGATGTACTGCTGTACTTGCTGTTAACGGAGGACATACTCGATATTGACATTTTTGTGAGTTTTCCCTTACATCCCTACCATTTTCGGTTAACAGAATCCAGAGAATTCAATATCTGTTTTCGATTTACTTGTTGATTTACAAATGGAATTAAAAGCTTGAAGATGTATGTCATTGAGTTTTTGTTGAATGAAATATAAACATATCAAAAAATTATATTTTATACGAACTTGCTCAACTTCCTTCTTTCAGTATATATAAATAAAAAGGATGCATTAACCCTGTAGCGTCAAACATGCTTGACACCATATTTTATATACATGATTCAGAAGCTTAACTTAAAATACATTACACGTTTCAGGCTTTGAGACGTTGCCATATCCTCCATCTAGTGGAAAGTTCGCTGTTTATAATCAGGAAGATCTACGAAAAAGGATCAATTATGCCGTCGAAAATGTGTGTAATCCAGTCATCAATACTGTATCAGAAGATAATATATTCACATTCATTTAGCCATTTCAGTCTATGCAAAGCTTTATAACTTCGTTTATAGATTGAACAAAATAGACATAACTTCACTTCTTCAAATTATTTGTGTACTTTTAACACTCATAAGGCAAGTTTATGCCTAACTAGTTATCACGACATCAGATCAACTATTTGAAATTGGACTATGGATGAAAGCGTTTTATGGCAGTACCAGACAAATACAAATATTTTACTGCAAGATCTTACTGTACACGTCCCGTACTTTCGTAATTTCTATTGATAATTTACATTTAGAATAAAACTAGTATTTGAATAAAAAATAAATATTCGACGAGATATAAGAAGCTGTTTCTCTTGGATGTCCTGCTGATTTGGCTTGGTTGTGTCGGGGGTTGCGTTCTATGACCGTCGCCTTGCCTTGTTGATCTTTGTTCCCATTTGTTAAGGTAAAGTTTGTATATGTGTTTTGCAGGTCTTTAATCTTGAAGTAACAGCAACTGGATATTTCAAGAAACTTGAGAGTGATTTTGTAAAGATACATCTCGTTTACTTTGATATAGAACACAATCATGCATTCCATCCTTCTAGAAGAATTGTCACAAACGGTAAGTGGGTTGTTTGATAATAATCTTAAATAATCTTATTATAAACGAGAGGAGGATTGTTGACTTTTTAATACCATTTTGCTTTACTTTTGTATAAAGGTCTGTTTCTGTTTTTTTTACATTGATGATCTGTTATTGTACTAATAAAGACTTTCAATAAGAAAGGTAACTTTACTTTTTTAATAAAACGGAAGGACTTGGGTGTGGACATGAACAGTAAAAAGATTCTCTCTGAAGTAGGAATAAAAAAGACTCAATTTTGATACGCCATATCGCATGATACCTAGTATTTACCTACTATGTAATGCAAAAATAAAACAAAAATGTTTAACGTAAGAGTTTGTTAGTTTTTACACAGTGCCTTTACTCTTTATACCCTTTGTACATAATAATAACTTCGGATTTGCTTTTATTTAGTCCAGAAAAGCTTTGAGCCACACTATGGATTGTCAAAATACGTGGATATCTATGGCAACACATTATATAGCTACAATATAACAGAGGAGCTAGACATGCTCAATATTTCATCTTCTCTTGACAGGTAAACATGTATATTTTTGTTAAATAATGTTCCATCAACACCTTTTAGATCAAACAGGAAATCAAAGCTTAAGCACATATATTAAAGAATATCACTCGTTACAACTTGCTACAATATACGCATGGCAAAATAATTGAGTAGGCATCGCAATTTTGGAAACTTATTGGAAAACCTTTTTAGCGTCCCCATAGAATTCTATGGTCACACTGTACGTATGTCTATACTTACCTGTCTCTAAACTGGCGGCAAAGGTATTGAATCTGGTCACACTGTACGGAAGTCCAGACTAACCTGTTTCTAAACTGGTGGGAAAGGTATTGAATCTGGTCTCACTGTACGGATGTCCAGACATATCTGTTTCTAAACTGGTGGCAAAGGTATTGAATCTGGTTTCACTGTACGGATGTCCATACTCACCAGTAATTTTACTGATGGCAAAAGTATTGAATCTGATCACACTGTACGGATGTCCATACTCACCTGTAATGATACTAGTGGCAAAGTTATTGAATCTGGTCACACTGTACAGATTCCAGACTCACAGGGCACCGTGTTCACAAATATTTAAGAATCAAGATCAAGATCAGGATCAAATAAATTTACACACTTTAATATTCTTCTTTGTTTATCCTCATAGATTTATATCTAATATTAATTTGATAAACTTGGACTTGCAATAACAAGTTATAGAAGTTGTAGAATCAATTCATTGTTACTTTTGCAAGATACGGGCATTTTACAGTTGATTCAAATATTGATCATGATCCTAAAATTGATCCTTATTTTGATCCGAATAGTTTTGTATTTGTTTTGTTAAATGTTGGTTTTATCCAAAAAAAGTTTGGTTTCTAAGCAAGTCAGCATTTTTTTACATCTTGAATATTTACAATTTAATTCTAGGAAAACACAATTAATTTTAGTAACATAAAACAATGAAAATAAAATCAGGATCACTTGAACCTGATCCTGATCTTTTCTTAGTGAACACAGGGTTCTAAACTGATAGCTAACATTATTCGGTTTTGATTCTAGCAGGTTAAGACAACTATATTTTTGGCAGTGCATGATACAGTGAAGGAACTATTTTAAATGATGCAATGTCATTTATTGCATTGGAATTTATTTTGCAACTGCTAAGATCCTTTGACGTGCTCAGCTTTTATATGTTAATACGTAACCTGATTGTTTGCAGCAAAATGATTCTTGGAAGTCCTTATAGCAAAGTTTTATTCCCTTGACAACCGAACGTTGCTTTAACAGTGCTAGTTTTTTGTGTGTGGTTTTTTTCTAAATAAATTGATAAGCAAAGTACCGGATTTCACTGAAAAACTTTGATAACATTTTTTTTCTTTATGTTCATGTTTATAGGTCAAGGCATATACGTCTATTGCAATAATCATTATAATAACGATGATAATAAAACAAACCATATAACATTATTTTGATAAATAGTATGTTGCTATTTTTGTTGCATTAAAACTTGAATTTATAAACTACACTGAGGATTTCGTCATATTTCCATGTTTCTATCTCGGCAGAATGTTGTGTTTGAACATAATGTTTTCATTGCACACGCTAAGAGTAAGCAAGTCGTACAACGATTCCAGATGTCAGCATATATACGGAAATGTAAGTACCGTTAGATGATTGCATGTTTTTGCAGAAAACATAGAAGACAATGAACAATGGAACATAAAAACTTCAGAAAGTTCCATCGCATCGTTTTGCATACGATATGTGCTCTCTTTTCATTGAAAGTTTTGATTTTAATTCATGTGAAGCATAGATTTCTTAGTGCAATTGTTATTTGAGCGAATTTATGTTATAAGGATTATATGTACTAATACTTTTTTGTTACAGGCCAATTGACAGGGTTCGATTAAATTACATATTTATACCCTTAATTTACTTTATTCCAAACATTTACTGACAAATATAGCTAATTAAATAAACCATTCTTTTTTTCTAATAATTATTTCTGAAACTGTTAGGAAGCACTATGTTTTGTCTACAGGTAACATTTGATGACGATGACCACAATGGGCAGGTCACCGTTGATCTCAGCACTTATACTTTGCCGATATCATGTTCTAAAATGAATTTTTCGCTAAAAGGTTAGAAACGTTTTTCCAATTTTATTTCTATGAGATATAAATCAACTGGGAGGGATGAAGTTTTTGTCATGTGTTTGTAGTCAATGAATGCAGCTGTATATTGTGAACACTTATGACTAGCTGTATTTCAAATAGGAATTGTGACTATGTAGAAATGCATCTACTTTCTGTGATTGCAAAAGATGATGCAATTTGAATTGTGACATCTTGCAATAAATAATATATTGATCTGCTTGAACCACAAGGAGCTTGTTACAACAATATTTCATACACACTTGCTGTAAATCATACAGTGATTTTGATAAATGCATCCCAAAAATGTTTGATGAACTATATAATCTCATGTACGCAATGATCCTTTTTAAACAGCTAAAAGTAAGTCAAAATCCCTTATTTATCCCTTATTTATCCATTTCATAAAAAAGAGTGGTCATTATTCTGGAACTGTGATATTTTCAAAACAATTTACTGCATTTGTTTGATTGGGTTTTACGTCATACCGACACAGTTTATGTCATATGGCGACGTTCAAGCGTTTCCGGTGGAGGAAGACCTCAGGTGCCCTTCCGTGCATTATTTCAGGCACAAATGGTCACCGGAGTAGAACCACCGACGTTACGTAAGCTAGCGGGATAGCTTCCTCATTTACTGCATAGAGAAAACCGTAACGTCGTAGCATGCCGAAGTTTGCTTGTATCAAAATAGGTTACAGAGTAACATCAATTTGTATTTATGTATGTTGTTGACCTAATTATCAAAATCTGAAATTTATCAGTTAAAAACACAAAGTTTTATTTGCAGGATTATATTGTATCACACCATATATTTATAATCTGGTCACACATTTGGTATATAACAAGTAATCTTGCTCTGAAATTTATCATTGTTCAGATACTATTACATCATCTCAATGATAGTCGGTATAAGATCTAAACCATTTTAACAGTTAATAATTCGTATGACAAACTCATTTATTTATTTTAGTTCGATTGTGTTGGAAGCTATAAGCTTATTAAATCACTTTCGAATCCGTTTGTGTACCTAACCAGTACTTAGCAATGAGTGTAAAGTGCCTTGCTCAAGGAAACAACGGATTGCCCATGATAATAACGCTTGTTCATGTATATGCTTTGTATCAAAATAAAACGTTTTATCATAAGTTCAACTACATAATAAACATGAGTGTCCGGTAACATATTTATATTATAGATTCTCCACAATGTAGAGGATACACTGGGCATATGACCAGGCGTGTGAAATTCTTGTCATGGACCACTTCGATTGGCGATGGTGTAATATATATTGGTGGAATCATAACATTGATTGTAAGTTAACTGTCACATGAAATATTTTGTTACGTATGAAAATTAAATTGCTAGTAGGGTCCATGTTATTTGATTCATATATAAATACTCTAATAATATGTCTCTCAAGTTTAAGGCATGAAACATCATATTTAATATCTTAATTTTTGCATTGTACTACACTCTTTGACGAGGGAGTAGGATCCTATATAACAATCTGTCAATTGACATTTCTTTCATCTTACAGATAAGCCAATCGACGACCGTTATCAGTTTCACGCTAAGATGTCTGGGAAATCCGCCATTTTCCTTAGACAAGCTATTTGTATAAGACAATGGTGCAGCAGTATTTATATTGAAATAATTATGACTTTTTGTCAATTTAAAGCTATTATACTGGTATATCTAAGTTACAAAATATCCTGACATATTGACAGATGGAGTCAGTTAGTTCATTTTACAAAAACAAAAATATCAGTAACTTTCTATATATGAAGATAATAAGTAAATTAATTTAACAGGTACGAAAGATAAAACTGGCTATACCACATTGCATTAATCAAGGAAAAAGTTTAAACTATACTCTATTCCTTCCTACATTACAATCATGTCAATTCATAATCACATAATATATTATTAGGTCTCAGAATATCCAGATGATATGACATTTTTGTTTGTTCAATAAAATGCTGCAGAAGATAGAAGTACTTGCAAATAAAATGAGAATATATGCAATAAATATTTTAGGTGAAATTATTCGTTCTTAATATTTCTATTAAAGCTCAATGAATTAATATTAAATATTAAGATATATTAATATTAAGATACATCTGCTTCAATAACATCATATCTGATCACGGTTTTAATTTAAAGCCAAGGTTTGGTATATGCGAAACTTATTTTGAAGTTTATGATATTGCGTTTTATAACGAAAATATCTAATGTATAAATATACATATAATCATATATCATACAACAAAGTTACGCAAGGGCAATTTTCTCATTTAATTGTGACAATTCATGCACAAATGCATTATATATAAGTGATTTCGCACATAAAACCCCAAAAACATTTGTAAATGTTATTGTTTCATTGATATAATTTTATTATTATATGTTCCACTACATCAATTTTAACTATCTTTGAATTTGTAAATCTAAAATGATATTTTGTCAGTAACATCTTCCTTGAAATCAGCGAGAAATATAACAAGATATTTGCCAAACATTTTATTCATCATTAATGCGTGAATGCAGTTATTTGTTACTTTTTTGAATACCATAATACATTGAACTATTCAATAAAAGCATAACAATTTTTATAGACCAAATTATATAAGGTAAATATATTAGTCACTTAAGGAAATAAATAAATTTGGTTGTAGTTTGATTTATTTTGAATACGATAACATATTTCTAAATAAGAGAATATTAAGAGGATATGATCGTTTGAGTGAAATATGGAATATATTTCACGGAACATAATAATATTCTATAAATTTTCACGAGCCGGAACGGCGAGTGAAATTTATAGAATTTTATTATGTTAAGTGCAAAAATATTCCATAGTTCATGAGAAACGAAAATAAACAACAGCATTTTTTTCATATTATTTTACCTTCAAGAAAAAAGTTGTTTACGAATGCATGTATTTGCTACGCAGTTGCAATTATACAGCGCTCAGAAATACATTAATTATCTTAAAGTGCGCGACGCGATTTGAATATAATACATAATTTATCACAGTCATAACTGTCTTGAAAAAAGAACATTAAAAGGCAGTTTCCGATGATAAAATGAGTTTTGGCTCCGCATAATGTCAAATTTATTTTTCATATGTTTTCTTCACAAATATGATAAATATTTGGCTGATATACCACCATATCTTATGGGTATAATTAAATAATATGACAAATTGCCATTGTCAACAATTTTTCGAACAAACGCAATACAATTCCTTCAAGTGAGTAATTCTCTAATGGAAAGCGGTGGTATGCTGCTTCAATGAAATACACAGTCGCCTGTGTAACAAACCTTCCAACAAGTTTGATCCTATGCAAGGAATTTTTATTTTATTTTCAGCTTTAAAGTTGTTGTCTTTTCTTTTTACCAGATGACATATTTCTACATGAAAGGTAATTATCATGATATATACGGTGAGTCGTGTCAAGAAGATAACCTTCCATGGATGGAGTATTTTTGTAATGTAAAATGGTGGTTTATTATGTCTTTAACTGGTGATGTGTTCACATTGATGGGTGTTTTATGGATAGTGACAACGGTAAGATAAATTTATTTTTAAACAAATATTCACATATTGTTAGGCGAAGAAATTTTGATCATAAGCTCAAACGACGATGGTTCGTTTGGTTCCATATTTAAACGTCACAATATGTAAAATTATCTTCAAAACAAAAACAATATTAGAAGAATTACAATTTTTGTCTAATCATGATTACCTGATGAAAAAAAAATATAGTAATTTTAAGTTAGTTATAATGAAAGATATCGTTACCCTTATCATTGAAATTTCCCATTTTTGGTATTGACATGTTAACAAGCTACCATATTTTATTGAAAATCATTATCTCCATAAACTAATTAAATTATTTCTAAAGCAGTAGTAAATTTGTAACCGAAAAGAAAGTAAACAATTTAATACTTTTCAAAGTCCATTATGTCTCAGAAACAAATAAAAATGTTCTCCTTTAATTTTAAAAGGGTGAATATGAAATTTAAAATGTTTAAATAATTATTTTAGGATATTTTAGATGCGCATATTTGAAGCTGATAATTAATTTGTCATAAAGAAGTAAAATGTAAACAAATAAGTACTTTGACTTCCGTACACAATACTTAATCAATTACCAAAATGTAACAGTAGCAAAAGATGGTTCCGGTAACAGATCAAAGAGTGCTTCCATGGAAACTATAACAGGACATCAAAAAAAGTTTTTTTTAGAAATAACAATACAGACATTGCTTGGACACATTGGGCCTTAAAATAAAAAAAAAATACCGGGTCTTATATCTACTCGTATAATTAGAATTACTTAACTACTTCTAAACATTTCGTTATTTCCTAAAGCTCGGTGAGGACAGTGATTTCAAACAGCCTTTGAAAGAATGGGACAAGAATGTTGTGTATATTGGCTCAGGATGTTTATTGACATGGTTTTCTATGTTACGATTTATAAAAATTAATCACAAGTTCACGGTAAGTAGATGTAAATAGTCCTCAATTTGAACATTTTTTCCTTATAAAATAGAACAAGTATAAAGGAACTTTTCATTTCAACATAGAATTGTCATTAAAAGATGACCGGAAAATTTTAATTCAACATGCACTTTACTCTAACTTAATGTTTTATCTTTTCAAAAGCGACAGTGATAACATTGCAAACAAATAATAATAACTACATGTATTTTTGTTTAGTAGAAAATTGGAATTAAGTACAGAATACAAGATACAAATACATTCATCCTGTGTATATTCATATATGAAACCTTTTGTTATTTATATTTACTTAGCAATAGATCCAGTTTAAATTAAACTAATCTAAATCAAATTAACTGTGTTAAACATGTATAACCAGTGTATGAAGAACATACTCTTTATAGCGTATCATTTTTATATTTGTTTCAGTTGTTGTTCAAAACACTCAAAAGATCAGCTGTAGACGTCATCTTTTTCATGACATGTGTAACCATCATCTTTGTGGGTTTTCTGTTTTGTATTTATATTGTACTTGGACCATACAATGTTCAGGTATTTCATTTATGTATAAATCTAGACTTTTATATACAACTGTTTTTACGTCCCGGTCGTATGGCCACTTTTTCCTTTCATGTTGAGAGAGACAACAATCTTCCTTTATTGTGCTTTTTCAGGCACGACTGGGCAGATGCGTATAACCATCGACATTACAAAATGTTAAGATAATAAATACAGACCGCTTGAAATTAAAATAAAAAAATTACTATGGTAAATTATGTGGCACAGAGTAAATTGTAGGAATTTCGATAGAAAATATAGTAATTTGTACTTATCATCATGTAATTTATTATACAGCAAAAGTTCAAACCATTTATATCCCGTATAAATTCCCTTTATTTTAAACGGCAATACAAAGAAAAACAAACACAAAGAAACAAAATAAAAGGCATTTAAGCATGTTCTTGAAATATTTAAAAAAGTTTCAGCAAAGGAATATATGAATTGCATAATACTTGTTGTAACGCAGCCGGTATTTGCAATATTTTACTTTATTTACATGTAATTTCAAAGCATTGATTAATGTAACCAATACACGAAACAATATGACTATTTATCCAAAACTGCCACGGATTTTAAATGGCCAATAAAACGCTACCATCTTTATTCCTCAAAATCATGTTATTTTTGGTCTTGTTACAGTTGTCCAAAGAATTACTTATTTGCCATAAATACTAACTATCATTCTTCATTTGCCCTGTTGGTAATTGTCATCATAAAGGTGAATTAGTATTTTGTATGAAAGTCAAAATACTATTTTGTTAAAATTTTCCAACTTCATAACACATTACTACAATTTTAGTGCTATTTCTTACAGTTGTTTAACATTTACAATGCAAATAATGTTTGACATTTGTAAATAATTGAAAAATATATGGATTTCTAAGACATAATGTCCTTTTTCAATTAATTCAATTAATAAAACTGCTAAATTTTCAGTTTGACAAACTTTCTACAACTGCGGAAACATTATTTTCGTTGATAAATGGTGACGAAATTTTTGTTTCGTTTGAATATCTAAAAAGGGAAGAGGCTGGAGACCAAAAAAGAATATATTTATTTTCAAGAGTTATCATTTTTGTCTTTGTTATCATCTTCACTGTGTTTGTATTAAACCTCTTGATAGCTTTGTTCAACAGCGCTTATGAAGTCGTTAAGGTAAAGTTAATAATTTATATTTGTATTTGAGTTCAATGCGTCATTCTTACGATGTTATACCTTTTACCTAATCCAAATAATGTGTTTCTGATTCAGTACCTGTGACAATATCACTAGCTATTAATAAGTTGTTATACTTTTTTTTCTAAATATTATGTTTCTGATACAATACCTTTGACAATATCACTAACATATGATTTGGATTATTTCTCTTTCATGCATTGTAACACGTATTTATTTTACTGAAATTAATACATTTTTTCCTTTCTTTATCTTAATTTTCTCTTAAAAATTAAAACCGTTTTTGAGTGTTTGAATTTCTGAGCTATAATATAAAGTATATATCTGTTCTTGTATAGAATTCATATGATCAAGAAAAAGAAACGGAACAAACAAGAAGGGAGACCGTACCAAAGACGCTGACGTATTTCATGTGTAAAGATTTCGAAGAAAGTGCAAAATTTGACAGGTGTTGCGGTGCCTCGCTTGATGGAAAAAAGTTATTTAGCCACAGATGTTTCACGAAAAATGATGATGGGTGTAATGGTTGTACATGTGGAGTTTTCAACACACTGGTTCATTTCTTATGCTGCAATATTTTTACAATTTGTTGTTGCCATTGTAAGGCAACAACAAAGTAAAGAGAACAAACTACGTTATTTCCTCAAGCAGAAAGTATGATGCTGTTCGCAATATAAGACTTCAGTGTCGCATCATTGGTATAAAGTGTTTTTTACATTCAGCAGTTTTCTGAACATACGTCTAGACATTTTTGTACAATGTAAGTTATCTCTTTATATTTCACTTTCTAAACGACGAAAGGAAAAACAAATCTGGATGAATTTGATCCCTCGGTAGCATAAATCACAACAAAATTACATGAAAATTGCAGATTTGCTTAGATTGAGGATGTATATGAGGGATTTATAAAACAGTGCAACATCTCTCACGTCCTTCCCCACAGGATTAAGCGGTACACTTAAAATTTTAGAATTATTGATCCCGAACTACTCCATTTAAGGGTGATATGCTTTTTTAACTTGTCTCAAATTGCAATGACGAGATATTAACACGATTTTATATGTTTATGATAAAAAAGGACACTCGATTATCTGTGAGCACGATAAATTGGTGGTTTCGAGTCCTATGAAGGACTTTGGATTTTTTTCATGTAAATACCGGAGCATTGGTGGTTCTACTCTGGTGATCGATTTGGCATGAAATAATGCACAAAAGGGCAACTGAGGTAATCCTCAACAAATTAACTTATAATGTCGCTATATGACCTCTACTTCGTTAGTGCAATGTAAACCTCGAAAAAATAAGATGAGTGTATATTTGCTTATATATATTCTTAAATGAACGTTATTGTTATTTTATTATTTATATAAGTTAAAGTTCGATTGTAGAGAAAGCTACTTGTTTATATGAACCATATCATAGTGCGCTTCCTGAAATGAACCTGTACTTGAGATACCTGGTTCTAAATTTAACAAAGATCCAAAAATAATATTTTTCATTTTAGAATTAGCCATAGAATTGTAGAAACAAATCACACGCTGAAAACAAATGAAGCTTAGTTATGAAGATGCTTGCCAATTTGCCAAAGACATTAAGAAACTTTGATTCATTTGTTCAATGACTGTGAAGTGATGAAACAATTTTGGCTGCAACTTCAATCTTAATAACAAATAAATGTAGTATTAATTTTGATAGCTGGACTGCTTAAGATATATTATTTGGTAATACAAAGTTGGATTTTATCTTAAATAAGATAATATTTCTTATAAATTATAGTAAAATAAAACAAATAAGGCCTCGATAAGAAACTTTAACGGCACAAATTGTTGCCAATTATAACATTGAAAAAATTGTTGCCAAACAAACTGTCAAGTATAAAAAGTTTGACAAGTCATGGGAAAAGTTAAATGCCTAGTTCCTCCAGCTCCAACTCAATGGAGAATATTATATACATGTACATATAATTCATAGGTTTTATGTAATTTCTATTTACTTTTTCCACAATACAGTACATGATTACAGGTTTAAAAATCAGGACAAAATATAGAAATAAAAAAGAGTTTTTTAAATCCTACTCACTAGCATTATAAAATGTGAACATTTGCCGCCTTATTCGCATCCTTTCTGATTCTCTTGTTAAATCGTTTTTGCATGTATTTATATTTTATTCCTTTACTTGTCAGTAAGAAGGAAACCCTTGTGCACCAGAGACCTTTGATATGTCATTTTTTTTAACAAAAAACATAAAAGGTTTACTGTCTTCGTAATTTTACATTTGTATTTATATTCGGATAAAGTTTGTATATTACATATGTATATAAACTTTATTATTTAATATATATTTTCATATATATATATTCTATATATACTTGTAAGAAGTGTTGAAGTTTAAACTTTAACTATGAAAAGTTATTATACACCTGTTTCGACCTGAAATATTGAAAGTAATGAAAAATAAAAGACCTTTAGAAGTCACAGTGTAAAAGAAATTGTTCACATCAACTTATTATTTCAAATAATTATGCATGAAATAGTGTTGCTAATCACTATACTGAATGAATGAAGACATTTTATACATGTATGGCTAATTTACATTATAAATGGTGTAAGGCAGACAACCCCTAAGCCTATACTAGAAAGATTGTGTGAACTCTCTTACGATTAATGAAAAGTTGTAAAAAAGTTTTTATATTTAAAATATGCATGTTTGTATGCGATCTAGTTTATTATAATCTGTAAACAAGATAAACAAGTTTTACACTTACTTATAATTGAATGTACTTGTAAACACCAAATATGTGGAATTGTTTAGTAAAAATAATTTTATTTGCAAAACCTAGTAGTTAGCTTAATTTGCTAGGGATTTATTAAGTTTTGTGAAACAAATTAAATATTGTATACATTATATGATTATGTTTTATTTGTTGTTGTTTTGTTGAAAACACTAATATTTTATAAAATAACTATGCATTTTCTTGTGCCTGGAAGTGGCGGATGGTTCCCCGACCCCAATTTACACAGTAACAGCGAAGGAATTTAGCAACAGTGTTGCTGAAATAAAAAGATGCTGGTTCTGATGTTATGTGAGGAAACATCGTCGTGACATAAAAGTGCTTGAAACCATGACATCACTAGGATTATAGGAATGCACCTTAGTGACTAGGATAATCCTCCCTCTTTGAAGCTTATTTAATTGTACATTGTAAGACAGTTCTTTTCTGGAAAACAGGATAACAATACCCAAAGAATATTGTGTGCCGGTAAATAATAAACATTTAGGCTGAATTATTATTTTTTAAGTATTCGTGTTCAAATTCAATAAAAACACAACATTATTTATTTCTGATTTTGATCAATATTTTATTACAATTCCTTCTTTAACAACGAATTTATTATACTGCAAACAAAATGAATGACCTTAATTCAATATCGACCGCAGTCGTGTATATAGATTATATAAACATCACGATTACCTAATGAAAAGCGACGTACGGAGGTACAGTATATTACAAATACATTCGTACATATGAATGTACATGTATATCGTTAATATATCAGTAAGATATATTTTCTTTAAGTTGTCTAAGTAAACGATGGATAATTCTTGCTTGCCTGCAAGTTAGTTATATTTCTAGTCAAAATATAATAATGTAATAAACATTCAAACTATTTTAAACATATTTTGCTAATTTACGTGGATTGTATGCGTCACTTGAAAACTTTTTCTTTTAAATACATTTTCGTGGGTTTTCTAAATCTTACTTGGAAATAGCCATAAGGTTTTGTATGACAGTATGTCACTCGCTCTTATATATTATAATAATAAAAATACATTTTTTCCCATTTGTTGACTAAAAAAAAAACAAAAAAACTTTAAGCTGAAAGTACTAAATAAAACAAGTTTCAAGAACATCTGAATTGGAATACATTTTTATGCATGTCAAGTAGCTAAATTTATGTTAACCTTTACTCTTGGTGGATTTTCGCATTTCGTTGGCACAAAATATGTCGACCTGGCAATGTGAAGGTAATTTTTCACTTTTGATTATTCATTTATCTCAAATGACGATAGATGGCTCTTTTTTGTAACGGTTACTGAAAGATATATCTATTGTGCTATGTTCAAACGTAAAGCTATGAAAATATAAGTCATTTTTGAAAAATGCGAGAGCAAAATGTGGATCGTGTCGGGAAAGACGCTACGGCGAGTTATATACCTTGAACATATTTTATATAGTAAACGGGTGCTGAATAGTAATTTTGTCTTGATGATCAAGGTGAGATAATTTTATGATAATTTGACCAGTATTGGCAAGGCAAATGTGCCCAACGCCTGTGTTCTTTTTAGGTAAGAATAAAGTGTATTTGTTCAGAATTATTATAAAACATGTATGTTTGAAAGAAAAATTGAAATACTATCTGACTATATTCTATACTATTACGATAAATGTTTTAATGTCACATGATTATATGAGATAGTGTTTAAAAGAGAGCTTTGTCGTCATGGGTGTGTAAAACAAGTCATGAAGGGTATAGATTTCCCCGATACCTGCCGTAAACTTCAGACAATTTCAAAGTGAATAAGTCTAGTATGGAAGGTCTAAAATACAATTGATAATTACGCTGATGATATCAAGTATCAAAGATAACAACCAACCAGCACAGAATTTTTAATGAATGTTATTGGCAAGTGTGAGATAAATGATCCCATACAACATATATTATATAGCAGATAATAAAATATAGATAATATAGAGTTTTATTTTGGGGGGAATAACAGACTATCTCTCCCTAACCAGTTCCCCCCTGACAGTTCTCTCCCAGACCGTTTCCTCCCCTGACGGTTCTCTCCCAAATTTGAAATATGCAGACAGTTCTCCCCCAAGTTTTTTTTATAAGTTGTCATTTCAGTTTTTATTTAATCTAACAATATTTCTTAATGAAATTGATTAGAAGGATGTGTTGGATATTAAATGCATTTTATGTTAAACTGAAAAGTGTTTGTAAATTTAACACCTTTTTCATGTAATTAAATGAGAGACAGTGATTGATATAATTTTATGTAAATATAAAATATCGGTCAGAATGAAAATAAAACAAAATTTATATAAATTATTTTCTGTCTATTAGATGCTGTATTACTTCTGCTAAATAAATGATATAAATTGAGTATGAAGTGCAAAATTAACAGATACATCATCTATTAAATACAATTTTAAGTACAAAATATCATCTGCCTAGATGACCTAAAGTGTTGGCGCGCCGTTAAAGCAAATCAAACAAAGAAACAAAAACCCACAAAGCCTGATCATACTGGACGGATATGCAGGCTAGCCTGGTTGTATACTGGTGGCAAATGCAAATCAGTTTGGTCACGTGATGTTATTTAAATGAACTTGCATTCCTTGTGATAATGAATCGCTTCTAGCAATCGTTTAATCATTTATCGATTGCTATGACGAACAGAAAGTTTTTTCTAATAGACTTATCATTCGTCAAGAAAATTCGAGATCGATTACAGTTGACTTATCTCTTGTGTAATACACTATTGACTTAGGATAAATTTATTTACCTAAAATAGTGGACACAGGGAACAGGTACTTTTTCTGATCATGTAGCATAATAAGTGAACTTAATTCTGACGTTTTATAACGAATGGTGCGTTTTAATAAAAGTGAATCTACTTTGATGGTAGCAAACTTTGGAGCTTTTATGTGAGTAGTGTTAGTATGCAGGTGACATATTTAATAAACAACAACAAAGTTTCACTATTTTGAATATATCTCATAATCTGAACTTGTTTTTAGCCGAGATTTAAAAAAAATAATGAAAGAAAACTATTTTAAGCTAACAAAGTAAATTAAAATAACAACGGTCCGTAAGTGAGACCTCATTGCTTGTATTTTATATTTCATGCATACAGACAAATACAGACATAAAAAAGCCTTCAAGCAAAATAAAATATACAATTGCATTACCGTTATCATACAACATATTGAATCTAAGTAAAGTAATGGGTGCATATCTATAGAATTTAAAATTGCAAAACAATACAAGAGAGACTTTATCAGACATTATTGTGGTATTAAGGGATTAAAAGTGATGAAATCTAAGGCTCATGGAACATAAACAATGATTAAATTAATGCTTTAAATCCGCTATTTATTACATACTGTGGTATAATGTATGACGTTTCTCAACAATTGTTTGCAAAGATTGGCAGTCTGAAAATTATCATATGTTTTTTTTTTCTGTTTTTTTTTTTATAATTTTCATTACATACACCCGTGCAATTAAAATCATTCAAGTTAAAAGATTGATAAAAGGCTAATTTGGATGATAGTATTTAAAAGAATCCGAAAGATGACACAATGTTTTTTCTCGTGTATGTTCATTCCTAAGAGTTCTTTCTTTTTCTACATTCCTTACCTTCAACGTTTCAAAAAGCATTAAGCTCACATGTATCATCACATTGATTATATCTGAAGTAAACATGATAATAATTATATGGTAAAGAGAGGAAAGGTAACCATTGTTATGAATCCATGTTGCATGAAATAATTAAACAGATACTGACTTATAGCATGTATTTCAAACATGTTATCATTATTAAATTTAGATATTTTTAAAAAATAAAACTACTATTTTAGGTACCTTAGCAACCTGATGGTATTGTTCATAAACCTAAATCTGCTGAAACAGGAAGTGACCTTTGTCTTACGATAGCCATGCGGTATGACAAGGCTCTAAAGTGTTAATAGCATTTGTGTTTAGTATTCTGAAACTGAAATCCGCGTGATATATTGCCAGTTCGAAGGAGGACAAATCCATTATGAAATTTTATCGGTTTAAATATAAATGAAAAAAAAAAACTGATCATGCAAGCAGTCAAAACAATGCTTGTTCAATATGCCGTTATTTCGGTTTGTATATTATATCATATTTACATGTAATTTGCATTGTCTAAACCTCAGCGGTTTTCAATGATCATGATTAGGATAAAGTAAATTTTGTGTATGTCTTGAGTCCGATCTGGAGATGAAACGTTTCAACGTAAACTAACTTGTAACAAATCTATCTATTTAAAAATAAAATAAACTTAAACTTTTTTGGACTATAATAATATCTTACCCGGGCATTTACATGACAAAAAAGCAGTTAGATGTTTAATAACTTAATTAATAACATAGGAGAAATATTTTTTTAGCAAAGGCATATTTTATAATATC